ATACAATTGTCATTTCAAGGAAAATCATCTGATAACAATCATGATTAAAAGGTTTTTTTTTTGTCACAAAGGGACTTTATATACGAGTCTAAAATCCTGTCGTAGTGGAGTATCTAGAGCAGTGAACAATTGCTCCCGGAACGCGACTTCAAGAGTGGTGTCTGCTCCGATAAAAGGGTATTTGTCTGAATTGCATCTTGGGTCGCATAAAGTTGTGAGAATACATATAAAAAACTAACCCTTGATCGGACCTCTTCCTCAAAGGTACGTACAATATGAAACACTGATAGCAATTTTGTCTCGGGTAGATTTCTATAAAAGCGAATATTTGCCGAAAATTAACATCGCAGAAGTTGTTTCCCGACCTTACAAGATAAGCAAAAATGAATGGTTGGCATATCAGCATGGGTGCATATGTAGCTGGAGCAAATATTGCATTTATAATCGGAAAAGGTGTTGCTATCGGTACTGATGATAGCAAAGAAACGAATAGTAATATCTTAATATTTATGCTTATCTTTCATGGGAATGATTAGAGAGAATTTACCTGTGCTGTTGCAACTCTTGCGGCTGGTGGTACCAACTCAGCCACAAGTAGTGAGGCCACAGCTCCTGCTCCTGTGGAGAATACAAAGTCTGTAGCGAACTCGTTGACGACCGCTCAATACATCCTATTTCGCCTTTTCATAAATTCCCAAGGTAGGTGTAAGTTTACCAATTAAACGTGTAATCCGCGAAGTTGATATGGAAAAAACTAACAGTTGAGCAGCGAACATTAAGAGGGTTTTGGAAAACCTAATGGAATTTCCTGGTTTTTTATTAATCAGGGGTTGTGAAGGAGAAAAACATACAGTATTGAAGCTGCAATAAATACGACTGGGCGACGACCAAGCTTATCAAGTGCAAAAGTGCTCAGAAAAATGAGAGGAGATAAGAGGAGAGTGCTCAGCCAGCTTAGCTTTAGGGACTGAAAAGCCAAATAACATTGCAATCAAGCGAATGTCATTTATCCGCATCCAACCTGTTCCACCGTTAGTCCCAATGATGTATGTGTAATGACCGAGTATCCTCTTTCTATTGTGATTGGCGAAAATGTGAACATGATTTGGACGGCGATAATAACTTTTATTGCCTAAAATGTTTCAAAAATAAATCACAAGTCTTTTCAGGAAAGCTGTTTGGCTGACCTCTCTAGCATAGATGTCCTTCCACACAGTCTTTATATTCATACTCTTTGCGGTAGTCAAGCAGGACTCAAGGCAGAGCAATCCCATCACCCTTTCTGTAGGAATAGTTATTCACACACTTAAATTTTCCGGGCAGTTCTCAAACCTTGGCTTTCATGAAGTCCCTGGTAAAATCGCAGTGCTTTCATAGCTTCAGTTTTTTTGCCACGAGCGATTAGCCACTTTGGCGAGTCATAAATACCGATGGTTGTGGCATAGAGTAGTAAGCAGCTAAACATAAAAGATGAGAATGGAAAAGCATAACACATGGACAGATACATGAAAACTTGCAAAAGAACTAAACTTACAGCACTATTCCAAATGTTGGTATGAAAGCCCATGTTCGGTAAGTACCCAAAATAGATGGTAGACACATCCAATACCTAGAAACATGACGCACTTCTGAAGCTTAATACGAGTTTTCCCACATTGTTGGGATTATTCGGTATAATCTCTAAAAATAATAAAAAGAAGTTCAGAGAGAACAAACACCATTAAAACAGCAAGCATATGTCCCACTTGAAGAGCAACAGAAGCAAATCCTTAATATTTGAATTTCCTAGGGTTTTTATATAACATAGAAAGAGTATCCTCACCTCTATGATTGTTTGGTGCACATTCAACAACAAATATAGGGATAACTACCATATCGATGGGAATCAAAACCCCTAGTATGAGTTGCCCCAAAATGAACAACTCGGCGCTTTCAAGCCAACCCGAGAGCGCTTGCAATGCACACGACATTAATCCGAGAATACATCTCAAAGAGGGTGTATATATGTAATTGTCTGGAGTGGGCAATTGATGCTAACATACCGAATATGAACAGCAACGGTTTTTCTACCACGAGTATCAATGAGAGGTACACCCAAGAAAATACCGAATAGGATTCCGAGACCCAAACTTGCCAACGCAATTGTGGACATCATGGATAACCTGAATTGCAAAAAACGGTTGCATATGCATCACACCATTCAAAAATCTTAGAGGAAAATTGGGGCTCACATAGTGGGAGTTGGTTGTACTCCGTAATGTTTTGTGAGTGTCTGATTGTACAGCTGCCTTAATGGTCCCGGAAGGGCAGAGAAGAGTGTCATTTGAAAATCTGTTGATATAGAAAAAAAAGAGAAAGCGAATAGGGTTCTGGCAAATTGTGGAGTGAACATTCTAAACAGTTTGTTTAAATGAAATTATGAAATTATGTTCTAATAAAGAAAGTAATATGAATGAAGGAGTGTTTATCCAAAATGAGGTCTTTGTGCCTCGTTTTGCTGAACGCGGCAAAAAAAGTTGTTCATATTCAGATAAGGAGCTCCCTTTGAAATGACCAAACAAACAAATCCTTATCACTCCAGACCAGCATAATCAACCCGTTAAATAACGAACGTTCCAGCAGTTAAGTGGTCGTTTTGCAATATTCTGCATATAGCAACGGTCAAATTTGAGTAGGATAAAGGTTTTAGAATTAATATTCGGTGAGAGATTGTTTACATAGCACCATCTGAGCGAACATGTTAGAACTACAATTCTTGAGAGCAACCCCGTAATCAGCATTTTCTCACGAGGAAATAGCGTGAATGCGGCCATGACTCCCTTTTAAAAATTACGGT